AAGATCCTTCGCAGGTTCAAACGTACAGGTGTAACGAGTGCGATTACGAAACTATAAACAAGTCATATCAAAGGGCACCAACTGAAACACAAAGATCCTTCCCAGGTGCAATTGTACAGGTGGAACGACTGCAATTACAAAACTAAATACAGCACAGATATGAAAGGACACCACTAAAGCATAAAGATCCTTCGCAGGTTCAAACGTACAGGTGTAATGACTGCAATTACGAAACTAAATACAAGGGTGCTATCAAACAGCATCAACTGAAACACAAAGATCCTTCTCAGGTTCAAACGTACACATGTAACGACTGCGATTACGAAACTATAAACAAGAGTCGTAACAAACAGCACCAACTGAAGCATAAAGATCTTTCGCAGGTTCAAAAGTACAGGTGTAAGGACTGTGATTACGAAACTAAATACAAGGGTGATATAAAAAAACACCAACTGAAACACAAAGATCCTTCGCAGGTGCAAATGTACAGGTGTAAACACTGCAATTACGAAACCAAATACAAGGATTACATCAAAAAGCACCAACTGAAACATAAAGATCCTTTCCAGGTTCAAATGTACAGGTGTAGCAACTGCAATTACGAAACTAAATACAAGGGTGATATGAAAAAACACCAACTGAAACATAAAGATCGTTCACAGGTTCAAACGTACAAGTGTAATGACTTCGATTTTGAAACTAAATACAAAGAGTATATCCTTTGAGGACACCTCAGTTGATGCACAAAAAATGGTTTGCAGGTGTGAATTGCCACCCTTTGTTCGCATCATGCGGATCATTAAAATGATTCGAATTGCCCATCTCTAGTTACGTTTAGTGAGTAACACGTAATTACAAAAATGCTGCCGCTACAATCAACCCTAGATAAAAGCAAGTATTCAAGTTTTAAAGAAGATTTATACGTTCTAACCTAAATAAAAAACACAAAAGACGGTTAAGCTAATGTTTTATTTGTCCACAGAGAAAACTATGCATCTGTCTTTTAATTTTACAATGCATGTATATGGAATTAAAAATGAATTCGTTTTCGAAGGTGCTGAACACGAATCTGGTTATTTTTGAGATACATTTTAATAAATTTCATGTAAAAGAAAATGGATACTTAACATACAACTATTTCTTGGTTCGATCTGTGATAATCCGAAATACGGTAACTAGGTACTGCAAATATATATAAGGGCAGCAGAAAATTAAAATTTCTCTTCCAAAGAAATAAAAACATTTATTTTATATTCATTTGGCCGACAACTATACGTACCGATCGTTGATTGGTTGAATAGAATCTCGTGAAAAATTACACCAATCGCAACCGATGAAAGAGAACATTCTAATTTTACCGCAATTTAATTGCCAAAGCGAGGGAAATAGAATTACTGATCACGTGGCTTGCAATCATTTCAGAACGTTGTGTAGTAATAATTGAACATAGTAAATGAATTACCAGTACGGACTAGCAACCACACTCGTTGGGCCAAACTTTTGACAGGTGTCATTTTATTGATCTGAAAACTGAATTTTTAAATACTTTGATCGTTCCTCTAGAAAAAAGGTACTCTACATTTGTTTCGATAAAATTGTTTTCCGTTTTCCAAAAAATCAAGTTTTTGTATAGCACGTTTAAACATTGACTTTCGAAATTTATTTGTTACGGTTTATTTTCCATTTAAAGATTGGGCACTAAAAATTAAAATAATAATACCCTGTATATATGTAGATATCTATATTTAATAGTCACACAAGTTATTTAAAAACATTTTTTTTTTATATAAATATATATATATATATCTTTTCTTCCTTTGTGATTAGCAATTTATTTTTTTTTGTTACTACGACTTCTTGTGGGAAGATCGATTAATAATTACTTGTTGTATTTAAGCGAACGGATAGTAATAGGCATAGATTGTGGCATTTTTTTTTTATCGTATACTGTAAAGTAAATTTGGTTATTAAGAATTTTGCTGAAATATCCAGTTTATGCAAATAATGTACATGAAGCGGAAATTAATTCATAATTGTCTTATCTTCCAACGATATATACGGGGTGTTCACAGAGGTGTGACTTATTTAGTCACATATTTTTTTTATTATATTTTGCAAGAAACGCTTAAGCTTAAGCCGCATCTTATGAATCTATTTCTAACGCGAAACACATATTATTGAAATATTATTAATTTCTGCTCTCTTTGTTTTTTTTTGTTTCTTGTCTAATAATAATTAATAATAATTCTTTTCATAATATTCTACAGTATTGTGTGTAGCTTAGTGTTGATTTTTATAAGATCTTTATTAGTAAATTTACAAATTCATTCAACTTACCTTAATTATTTTCACATATATGTATATATTGTTATGTTCTTTTGAATTTGTGTTGTATGTAATTTCATTTTGATTTTAAATTGAATGTTTTTAAATTTTGCCCAGGCGCCAATAAGATCTGGTCTTATAATGTTGAGATCTAGCTCACTCTCTCTCTCTCTCAGGGTGTGTTTCACTTTGTTAATTTTTTTGCTATTTATATGAAATGAAAAATTACTAGTTTTAATACAAATTATCAAATATATTACATATATGAAGAGTCTTGTTTTTTATAGGCCCGTTTCTCTTTGAGCTTTAGGATTTGTTTTCTTATTTACAGTAGGAGGACTAACGGGAGTAGCCTTGGCTAATTCATCAATTGATATTCTGCATGATACTTATTGACAATTGACAAATTTTAATATCTTATATCTACTTTAATTTATTTATTTTTTTTTTATTAATACCAATCTTTTCATATCTGTATATGTATGTATATGTATTTTTTCACTTGAAAAGTTATAAAAAATAAAATGAAGCATTAATTGCTTGTTTTATTTTTTATAAATGTTTAAGTGACAAAATACATAAACAGTAAAGGATTGGTATTAATTTTAAAAACACCCTGTATGTGCGAACCAGTGCGCAGGTACAGGTTCACCGTTGTAAACCAGTAAAGGAACCATAAATGCCTTTTTATTACTGCACGAGAGCAGTAGTTCATAACAAAATATGCATCTGACCAGTGTAGAGCCATCATAGTTACATATTAATGCGTCTATGTTGGGCCATTAGTACATTGTGCTGGAATACTTCCGTTGGAAAACTTCTGGCCAGCGGGACGCGGGGATTCTGGCCCAATAAATAATGCTACTATTGCCTCAGTACATACAATGCACGTTGAAGGTTATGCAACCAGTACTGGGCCGCAAGAAAATGTTAGCTGGGAGTCTGAGGGCTTTAAAAAATTTTCTCTCGGTTATTATTTATATTCTCATTTTTTCTTACGAGCACATAACTTATACGGCTATAGAGTAAAGGGTTATTATAAGGTTAAAAGAGTTACAGTTTGGGAGATATTAATTTCTCTCGTTTTTCCTCCAAGCCCACGGCTTATGGATAAAGGAGTTATTAGTTTAAAGGGCTTACGGTTTGGAATATATATTTATTTCTCTCTTTCTTTCCTGTAGGTATACTGTTTATAGGGGTAGGTATAGGGCAAAATAATAAAATTTGTGTTATTTTTTTGACCTGGGAAAATTTCCATTTCTACAAAAGGTTCAATTTTCATTTTTACGTTCTCCTTTTTTCTTTTCAATTTACGGTGGCTATATCTCGAGAATTTACAAAAAATTTTCTCATACTTTTGGCGCCTTGTTAGTCGTTTGGGGGCCTACCTTCCAAAATAAGTCGGGATTTGCCGATTGCCCGACCTGACCAGACTGGGCCTGATCTCAAATAACTTACCAAAGTACTTTAAATCTTTATAATAGGCCGCAAAATATAATTTATTTTTGTACATACCAACTACAGTTATCATATTTATCCTTTTACAGTTGATGTTCCGAATTAAGTAATTCTTAACTTTTTACAAGTAAACTGTACAGTAGTTTTTACCCTTGAAAGAGTTTTTTTTTCGGTGTTCGGAGTTAAATAGAGAAGTAAAAGGAAAAGAAGAGGAAAAGTTATTCTCGCAGAACTTTTGACATAACATTTAATGTTAAGAAAAATTGTCAAGTTTACAAAAATATTAAAATCACATTTCGATAGATAGGTAGGTACCTACTTTCTTTAAAATTTCCAATCGCTTTTCTAACAATCACATCAATTTGTTATACAACAATAACAATAAATTTAGTCCATTTAAAGTGAATACAATCAGTTAAACAACTTAATAGCTTTGCTTGAAGATCGCGTTCAAAGTTTGAGTCTTCAAAATGTGTACTACAAAATATGTCCAGTTGTATGATTAAACAAATCGCGTCTTTTGCACCCATATCTTTCTAAGTTTTTATCCTTAGGAAACACATTAAATAAAGTTTTTTTTCTTGTTTAGCACTATAAAAATTATTATTGCAAATTGCAACACTACACCTGGCATTTTTACGTGGTAAATTAATAGTTTATATTAAACACTACACCATCAACTTATTAAGAACTATTATCAATAACTAATTAATTACTTCAAAATATCCAAACAACTATGAAAGACTTACAAATAATATTTGGAAAAATGCAAAATGACTAGTTAATTCCCATGTAAACAAACATGAATCCTAAAGGTTAGAAATCCTGTGACGTAGTATGAGATAACCCACGCCCATTATTTCAGTCTATTACTCGACCATCTTTTTTACGGACCGTGTGCCCGACATACAACCGAGAATGATTGTGAACGCGTCCCAGCCCAGCTTTTGACGTTTGGCAACATTGAAACAACTGAATTAAAAATGGTAAAATAAAATCAAACATATGGGCCCATCAGATGGCCGTCAGTTATCATTTATATAAAAAAAAAACTATCTTGATATTGATATTTTAAAGTTGTGAGGAATTAGGAGTAAACCGGAAAAGTTTTGTAAGTAATCGGTAAAGGCTGGTTGGCAACACTGCATTGCTACGCCTACACCGTCACGTCACAAGAAAGTTAGAAAGTGACAGGTGATCAGTGGATATATCGTGGACGGGTGACGAGTTTCTGTTATTTTTATACTCAAAAGAAGATTGTTGTAGAGCAATGAGTGATGTTAAGGAAAGTTCGTGTAGGCTTTGCATTAAATCTATAATAGATACAAATTTTGAAGTGGTAGACAACGTTATCAGAGACATTTTGGATGTTCTTTTGCCGAAATTGGTAAGTCGGTGAAATCTAATTAGATTGGATCCTAGCAGTCTCAAATGTAAAGCAGTTTTTAGTATTTAATTGTTATTTTTCACTACACTTATTTTCTTTCTGTTTAAACTTGCATATTTTTCAGAAATTTGATAACGAGAGCAAAGAGGTTATATGTAGCGTTTGCAGAAGAAAGTTAAATGCGGCGTTAGAATTTAAGTCGGCTTGTCTGAAGACCGATAACACAATTATTCCATATTTGGATTGTGAGAAAATGTTACAGCTCGATATAAGAGATTTGTGTACGAAGGAAAAGACAAGCGAGTCAGTGGATATTTCAGATAGTCAGAAAATATGTCGATTGTGTATGGAGCCAGTAGAAAGTGAGTTTAGGTGCATACGTGAAGAGGAACTTGAAGCTATCGAGAAACTGGCTCCTGAACTGGTATGAACGATATTAAATACTTGCATTTCTCTGAATTTAGAAAACTATACTTTGCAGAATATAAATATCATCAAAGATCCCGTTATATGTAAGGAATGCTTTGGTTCTGTGTGCACTCACAATAATTTCCTAAAAGATTGCTTAGAGGTGGAAGAAAAAATTAAAAGTATTTTTGATAGTTCAGCCTCACGAAGTCAAATAGATACGTCTCCACTTGATTTATTCATTAAGACTGAAACCCAGGACAAAGAATTCGATATTAACGAGATGGATATGTCAATCAAAGCTGAAAACATCGACATAAAATGGGAAGACGAGGAAAGGAGGTAAGAGAAGACTATTTTAACATTAATTTAAAAAAAAGTCTGTGGTTCTGATACTTTGTGAATACGTACCATCTGACGATAAACTAACAAATTATTAAGAAAAAATGGAAAATCGTTATAAAACAATCGGTATAGCTTTAAGTCAGATGGGGGGGGGGGAGGCTAGCGGAGTCCCAGAGTCCTCCTTCAAGAGCCGCCACTGATTAGATTCATTTAGTGATTTTTTTTTACTGTAGGCAGAAATCGTAATTTTCTTGGAACGAAAACGATAGATCTCTCACCGAGTTACAAAATGATTAGTGGTTATGTAAGCAGATTGCAAGAAGAAAATAAATTTTTAGGCTATTTTAAAGGTATCGGCCTAATTCAAATTTGAAAAATATCTTGTAAAAAATCTTATGAAATAAAATCAAACAAAATCCAGACCAGAAATCTAGATATGCAAAAGGCGTCTAAATTCATAGACAAGATTCCTAACAGTTGATATTGCAGGAAATGAATTATTGGCTACATGCCCCAACTGGCATCTAATACACAACACCAATATCTAGTAACATCTACAGTTAAGCTGTTGGATCTTTACTTTCTCATTATCAAGTATAATGGTATGAACTGAGATTTCAAACGAGGTCAAATCAGTGGTCTTGTTCATGAAATACTGTTCATTTAAGAAATAGTGAGGATTCACGTTTGTATAATGAAAACGTGTATTGTGATTTTTTGCATCATAACTACAGTTTAAAATCAACCAAAACCAAACAAACTTAAGCTCAATTTACTGAAATATCAACAGAACTCGTAGAAAATTAGGTCAATCAATAGAGGTTTTGTTTGTGAGAAAAATACTAGTAGCAAACGGACTGTCATCATATGAAAGACAATCTGTAAGATATATGCTTCGTATGTTTCCTACTCCAATTTACCATGGATTAATTTTTTATAAACATATTTATGACAAAAGCCTCATTTTTTAAAGTTTTTTGCTTATAAAACATAAACTAACGAAGCAATCTGAATGCTATAACGAGACAATTTGTAGAGAATCGAAATACGAATAAAATGAGAGGTCTTTCTCATTGATCAGGAACAGTGAATAACCTCTGTCAGAATGAATATCAATTGCGCAATACATGAAGGCGATTCCTTGTCTTTTTCCATCACCAAGTCAATTCAAGTTGATCAATAATTGAACATTTGTCTTTTATTATTTTGATGTACGTTGATGACATAAATCCTGTTGAATATTATGAGAAATAATACAGTAACAAAAATTAAAACTCGTAGGACCGATCTAAGTGTTTACTTTATCTTTCTGTTTATTTATTAAGACGGAGCTTGGTCCATGCTTTTCTCAAAGAAGTATATTGATAACTGTAGAAATATGTATCATAAGCCCATCTAAAAAATACTTCTTCAATAAACGCTGGACTGAACAGAGGTCTCTAGTTTTATATATTAGCCCTAATTTCCAACAGATCCAATGGCTTGACTGTAGTAATAAATGGTTATCCAAAAGAAAAACTAGAAGTGATATACAGGGTGTCCCGGAAATGGTGGGCAATCTCTCGGATATGGATAGATAATGAGAAAATAATGTCACAAGTTCATATAAAATTTTTTCCTCCGGGCTCACCCTGTTGAATTATTAGCTCTTAAAGTTGAGAATTAAAAATGTTTTTTTTGCTGTAACTTTTGTATTTTTCAATAAATTTTAAAAATTTTTTGGCTGGATCTATAATTTTTGAAGCTGCTTTGGATGATAATATGAAATCCTCGATAATAATTATGGGGGCCCGGGGGCAAAGCACCCCCCACCAAAATTTCTAGAAAAAAATTTTTGTTCCACTATAAATACCCCAAATTTTCTATCATTTTATACAAATTTATGGTATTTTACGTAAAAAAGGTATACTTGTTGAAAATCCATAAAATAGATATTTTTTGAGATAAACCCGTTTAATGAGGAAACTGTTTAATTGAAGTACAGATTTAATCGTGGTTGGCTTTGACATGTCAGAGTAAGCCAAAGGCAATTAAATTGTCAAACTTGTCAAATACGTAGTTTTAAATCTAAGATTGTGTTCCGATATCAAACATGGTTAACCAAAACCCTGGTTAAACGTTCCATTATTTGTCATTTCCTGAAATCTGTTTAATTTTGGAACAGTGATTACCTGAAATTGGTTAACCAACTGTCAAACAAGTAACCGGCGTTTTTAATCGGTAAACTTATAACCGCTTGTGGCACTTGTTTACTATTGTTTACCTTACAGTGTTTGTGTTTCTAGAATTTAATTACCCATTGCTCCACGAAAGAAATCTGAACTATCAGATGAGTCAATAAATTCATTATAAAATATAAATGCTTGTGCAACATCCATTTTTTAAAAATTTTTTTTGTACTAGCTATTGGATAGATATGCCTATTTTTTATAATAAAACTATAAACTATACATAGAACATCACGCTCACTACTTCCTGTAAACAATAAAATGTTAGGTTAGGCAGGGTTAAGTTAATTTTAATCATTTTGTTTTCTCTTCACTACTGAAGCGGTTCCATTATTCCCTTCTTTTCAGTTACCAACCGTTACCTCGGTGAAACCAGAAATGATAATTCGGATAATATCGGAACACAACCTAAGACTCATCTCATAACTCACAATTTGTTATAAAATATGGAGTATTTCAATGACGAATATGCTGATATGCATTTAATGTACGGGCGGGCTCTTTGTAATACTTATTTTATATAATTTTTGTAGGACTAGAAATACATACAAATTTTTTTGGATGACATACTTTTTTTTGATTAAAAATACCCCAAAATATCGTTTGGTTTATTTGTCCTACTGTTATTAATGAGAAAATTGTACCCGTGAAAATGACACTTTCCCAGTTTAGGACTAGGAAAACCTTCCATTTTACGTGTAGGACAAAAATTTCACTGAATTATAATAATAATTACCAAGCATCTGTGAAATATTTAGGTGGTTATTAATAACTTCTAAGATCATATTATTTTGACAAGTTAAGAGGGGGGGGGGACGCTTCGGAAAAACCATCGAACGTGTAGGACAATAGTTTTTTCGAGTTTTTCATACAATTATCGTGCGATTTAATTAAAAAACTACTTGTTAGTAATAAATATTGATCATTTACCAAATCGACATGTTTGACTCCCCCGCGCTTTATTAGCTACCGTTTTCGAGAATGTTGGGCGTCTCATCAAAACGAAGCTTTTTCCCAAAATTCAGCTTGTTACCAAAAATCAGAATCGATTCGTCATTGAAATTAAAATTGTTAATAAAATGTCTAAAATCTAAATTCCTTGTCTTAGTCCAGCTTTATACTTTGTTATTACACAATTTGAATGGCATAAAAATTATATAAATGCCCTGCGGAGTTCATAAACCTATAATTGAATGTTTGTTTGTGAAAATGTTTGGATGTTACTATCCTTTTCAATAACACTTATTTCAATCAAGTCTAAGGGTGACTACGACAGAAATGACAGTAAGCACTGAATTGTTCCGGTACGGGGGTACAAATGTATAATTATTAGTTAATAAAAACATCTCATTAACTTAACACACTTAACATTTTGGCGTGTGTATATATAACACATATATATATAACCACTAAAAATTAAAACTTGATTTTAAAAAATACCCTGAATGTTCAATTTTTTCAGCGACACGCCACTGCAGTGCTCCGATAAGATGCCATTCGAGGAGAGTGTCTGTAAAAATGAAGAAGAGAATGGATATAAACAGCAGAATAGATCAGAAATGAAAACCAAGCAGGAGCGCAAAGTATTGTACAAATGTGATAAATGCATTTACGAAACTGTAAGTGAGATCCATTTTACGGCACACTTTGCGACACACGAGAACGATTCAGAAGTGTATAAACGTGAATCGTGTGAGTATAAAACTGAAAATGGGAAATCACTTCAGAGGCAAATGGTGAGGCATAAAGACCCTTCGAGGGTTCAAACGTACAGGTGTAACCACTGCGATTACGAAACTAAACACAAGGGACATATGAATTCGCACCAACTGAAACATAAAGATCCTTCACAGGTTCAAATGTACAGATGTAACGACTGCGATTACGAAAGTAAATACAAAAATAATATGAAAAAGCACCAACTGAAACATAAAGTTCCTTCTCAGGTTCAAATGTACAGGTATAACGACTGCAATTACGAAACTAAATACAGCGAATATTTGAAAGGAGACCAACTAA